CCAGCGTATCCCGTTAGCGCAGGCGGGGTTACCATACCATTTTCACCCATCAAAAAAAACTCGCATACCACACTCATGGGTAAAAATAAATTAACCAATACGCAAATACATTCCTTGACCCTTCGCAATCAACCATGTCTGATGAGTGTCTACTTATTAAAAAAACACAATGACCTTACAAGCGTGCTCATAATTATATACATACTAGCGACCCGCCCCGGCTTCGCACAGGTGCAGCATTGTATTGTATTGTAAAATCTTTATTGTACATAATTCAAATTAAACACTGATAAATGATTTAATATACAATGGCGGACTTATCTCATAAAGGGATCTCTTACAGTCAACCTTTGAGAAGCTGAAAGAAAACTGTAGAATGTATAAGGGTAATAACCGTACAATTAAAGATAAACTAAATAATACCCAGTAAAAAAATTTAATATATAATATAATAAAAACAGCTCTATATTTATTTATTTATATATTTATTTATTTGAAAATTACTCACCACACTTACAGTTTCCCAAAACGTGTAGTGAGCCATATGTTTATTTTACAAACTTACAAATTTTGTACAACATTTTAAAAATATATCCATTTTGTCATTAAATAAAAAAAATTATGTTTGTCAAACACAAGGCATGCTGTGGTTGTCTTTAAATGTAAGAACAGTTAGATCTAATCTACCAGTGTATTGTATTGAAATGTTTAGCTGTATCTTATGTTGGTAATCCTATAAATAAATAAATAAATATTAGGAGTACAAATAAGTTTCCGCCGTTTTTTAACACAAATTAAATATTTATTATAGAAGAACGGTAATATAGATTTATATAAAATATTGCCCATCACTTGCAACCACTTTTTCCCATCTCTCAGGCAGCATTCGAATTCCACGTCTGAAGAACTCCTTGTCTTTTGAGGCTATCCACGAATCAACCCAATTTTTGGTATCCTCATAAGATGTAAACCGCTGCGTCGTCAGAGCATGTGCCATGGACCGAAACAGGTGATAATCGGACGGTGCAATGTCTGGTGAATACGGCGGGTGGGGTAACACTTCCCAATCAAGTGTTTCCAAGTACTTTTTTACGGGAGCCGCAACATGTGGACGAGCATTGTCATGCAGAAGAATAATTTTTTCGTGTCTAGAATAGTATTGAGGGCGTTTTTCTTTCAGAGCTCGGCTCAATCTCATCAATTGTGTTCGATAGAGGGCTCCAGTAATTGTTTCGCTCGGATTAAGCAACTCATAATACACTACACCTAGCTGATCCCAACAAATACACAGCATAAGTTTTTTTCCGTGAATATTCGGTTTTGCTGTTGATGTTGACGCGTGGCCAGGTAATCCCCATGATTTTTTTCTTTTTGGATTGTCATAATGTATCCACTTCTCATCACCAGTTACGATACGATGTAAAAAACCCTTTTTTTTATGTCTAGCTAGCAGCATTTCACTTAAGCATAATCGGCGTTCAATATCTCTCGGCTTTAATTCGTACGGAACCCAATTTCCTTGTTTATGAATCATTCCTAATGATTTTAAACGATGTGAGACTGCTTGCTGAGTGACTTCTGATGTTAGAGCAAGTTCTTTTTGTGTTTGAGATGAATCCTCCTCCAATAATTCCTCCAATTCTGCATCCTCGTAAATTTTTGGCCTTCCACTGCGATCTTTGTCTTCTACGTCGAAATCACCGTTTTTAAACTTTTGAAACCACTCTCGACACGTTCTCTCACTCAAAGCACCCTCACCATATGCTTCTACGAGCAATTGATGCGCCTTAGCAGCAGATTTCTTTAAATTAAAGAAGTAAATTAATATTTCCCGCAAATGACGCTTATTTGGCTCAAATTTTGACATTTTCAAGTTATAAAAATTATATTTTACCAATATCAAATCAATAATATTAATAGGTTATGTTGGTCTTGAATGTCGAAACTATTTTTTAAGCCGGTTATCATCTGCGAAAGCTAACCGAAACTCCGTGCCGCGCCATCCACAATAAAACGGCGGAAACTTATTTGTACTCCTAATATGTCAATGTCTGACTGCTGAGCAATCAGAGATACACCTACATATGTAAATAATAAAAGTACATGAATAATAATATAACATTAATATATGTTTGTATAACTTTGAAACTGTTCGACACATTTTACACACACACAAGTACAGCGCTAATTATCTCAAAGATTTTACAATAAACGATATATTCAGACATTTTTATGTTAATTTTATTTTGTAATTAATATTTTTTTTTATACAAATTAGAATGGCAAACAAGCTGACGGCCCACCTGATGGAAAGTGGTAACCGTCGCCTATAGACATGAGCAGTGCCATGGACATAACAGAGTATATTGTTTCGCCCATGATACCCCCCATGCGTTGCCATTCCTGAGGACTCAGGTGTTATTCCTCTGTACCCTGTAAATTCACGCCATATCCCACCCTTCAAACCGAAACACAGCCATGCAAACACAACTGCTTCACGGTTGAAACACAAATGGGACAGAGGTGCCCAAGTAATTGACTTTTGTACAAAGTCTCCCCCTGGTAAATTTGGTTAAAGTCAAATATTTTTTATGTAATGTGGTCAATAAAGAATAAATAAATAAATAAACTAAACAATTTCCCGTATTTCAACAATAGCGTGTTACGTTACTAACCTTTGCGACGTAACTTGTAACTTCAACTTGAAAATGTTAGAACTTAAGTTACACAATGTCTTAACTGATTTGTGACACGCATAAAACATTAGTTACGGTGGTTAGTGGGACAAAAGGTTATCTAATAAGAAAACCTTTTATTGGTAAGTAATTTACGTGTTTTACTTAATTCAACCGAATAAATTCACTTACTTGCTTATATTGCTAAATTTTAACTCTAATATTCGTCTAACATTTGGGTACATTTCTGATATTGTAACGTTTAAGTTCTTAAAATATATTTAGTTATATATATAATTTTAACTTAAATACGAGTAATATTCTTCTACTGTTGCAATATAAGCTCAACTTAAAATTGTAATAATTTAATTAATACCCAAAAATACATTTAATTATTATATAAAAACACGAAAGCATAAAATTATTAATTATAAGTTCAAATTATACTCATGAAGAGTATAATTTGAACTTATAATATAATTTAAACCTAAATCATATTACAATTTCGACCTTAACTTGAGAATATGAATACTTTTGAAATGTTCTAACTGAACACGCATAAAGCATTCGATACGGTGGTTCGGTGGTTAGTGGGACAAAAGGTCGTTATCTAATGCCATAGTTTTGTAAAAAGAAAATTCTTTATTGGCAAATATGCCGGCATTTACCTAATTCAACTAGGTTAATTGACATAAGTGCTTGGTAATTGTGCACATACGTTATATACATTTCAAACATATAAATATAGCGATGTAGACCCCGGCATAGAATAGGCCGTCCCTTCATTTCCCGTGGGTATTATAAAAGGCGACTAAGGGACTAACAAAATTTTTCATCGTGCCTCCCACCCAATTGTTTATAATTACTCCTCTCCATCCAAAGGTTGCCTGGAAGAGATCGCTCTTAGCGATAAGGTCGCCCATTGTTTTCTCATTGTAATTATTTCTTGTAATTATTTATATTTATAATAAGTTTACTATTGTAATCTTTTGGAGGAAACAATAAAGAGTATCTATCTGTCTATTTATTTATAGTGGATGGATGGGCAGCAGCGTCCCTTTTAAAATATCACCAAAAACCAATCTGCGGTTGTGCACCCGCCTGCCAAGCGTGGCAACTACTGGCAAACCTCCCCTTATGAGAGAGGCATTCAGCAGAGTACAGTTAATGGCTGATACAACATATAAACTAGCTTTCACTTGTGACTTCGTTTGTGTGACGTATACACAACAATTAAACAGGATAAATAGTACTATTTCTTTCTCTATATACTTATATATGTATATCATATTTTATGACGATTGGTTGAACCGTAAACGCCACGAAGGCGCCAATAGGTAACAAACAAACTCACTTTCACATATATAAAATCAGTAATTATAACTTCCCGATAATCCTTATTAAAGTTACAAATGTGAAAGTGAGTTTTTTTTTTACCTTATTAACACTACAAACTCAACTAATCGTTGTGAAATTTAATACACGTTTAATATTTGGGAAAGAAAAGGATATAGGCTTTTGTTTATCCTAGACAATCAATATACGACATATTAATAGTTCGCTATCATACGGACAAAAGCGCACATAAAAAATTAGTACTGCTATAATTCTTAGTATAAAATTCTCATTAGAATGAGTCTTATACATAATTATATACTTTATACTGCGATGTATATGTCGAAGGCGCACTAAGTATATGAGTATACTCGTAAATATTTAGAAACTCACGTTATAGCCACGTTTATCGTGTTTTCGCACAAAAATACATCCATAGAATGGAATAGAGTAGAATATAAATAATCTTTATTAATTTTTTTTTATGTGAAAGTGCCTGTGAATATATATATATATATATATATATATATATATATATATATATATATATATATATATATATATATATATATATATCAGAGTTAATAATATTGTTTTCTGTTAAAAAGTCTTTAAAAACACAACATAAACTATTTTTTAAATTAAATAATAATTATTTAGGTATGTAACATAGAATATGTAATATTTTATTTGTATGTTATTTTAAATACTTCATAATTTAAAGAAATTAATTTTGAGAATTAACAAGACACTATTTCAGTAATTATATACCGAATTTCATTGTTGATCACGTCCACAGATAAATTAAATAATATGTGTAAATGCAAATAAAAAATTATTAAACTTCTACTTATATATATAATTTCAACTTAAAATATAATTAAAAGTTAAAACTACATTTAAATTTTTACTTTAATATTATTTTTAATATCTAAGCCACCACGCTCCTATTATATCATTATAACTTACATAATGACCGTTCACACTCACCTCTCTCCGCGAAAGCATCCGCATCCCCCGTACCAATATCCTGAAGTTGCTCATCAGCATCGTTCAGGCCGAAACTCTGTTCACGGAACACGACGTTGTCGAAACCACCGCCGTGAGCGTTCGTCTGCACAGAGTTCCCTGTCTCTTGGTAAGGGAAAACCACGCGCGGACTCCTAGCTTTCCATCCGCTCACTTGGTAATAACTGTTCCTTAATGCTGGCGCGAAAGGTTGGTATTCTAACCCGAAATTCGGCGCGTAAGGTCTACTGAACCGTCCATTATAATACTTCGGGTAGGAGAACGGCCGAAACCGCGGTTCGAAGAACCTCTCATTTCCGGAGGGAACGTTGTCTGGCTGACTTTTTAGTGACGATTCAGAGCCGTCGGGTGACGTGAATTCGTAGTCGGTGTCATCGAATTTAATCTTCGAACTCTTGTCTAGGGTCAAATCGATCTCACCCTTGCCGTACGGCTGCCGATTTTCGTCCTCATCTAAAAACAAAACTCTGGACTGTCGCGGTTTCTGTCTGTACACATTTTTCGGTATGAACATAATATTTTTGTATGGATTCCGATAAACACTGAGAGCATTCGACGCGTCGCCCACAACGACACATGTTGCTACCAAAAGAAACACTTTCAATCCACACTGCATGTTGGCCGGTCAGTGCACTAAAAGTTTCACTTTCATTTCACTTTTATTTTATTTTTTATATTTACATCCGACCCGTTGTCTATGGAAACTTATTTTGAATTTAGAACATTTTCGATATTTGTTTCGCTTTTATTTTTTTTATTGTTTTCTTAATTTGATTTCATTGTTTAAACGCGTGCGGTGTCGGTGGAGTGTGGTCGCGGACTGGCAACCATGGTTCTCCGCTTGGTTGTCAGTTATATAAAATAATGTATGACGCGATAGTTTATGTAACTGTGATTAGCGATAGTGCGGTTGCTTGGCAACCTTTATTTTTGGGAACTATTACTTTGTTGATATTGGGCTATTATGAAATCATATTTCAAATTAGGAGATACTTTCAAAATGCATTATAGTTTTTCTTTCTTATTTCAGTGGCACAGTGCATTTTTAAATTGTTTAAGTAGTAGTTTTATAATAATTATTAAAATGAATACAAAAAATATTGATAATTAATATATTTACTTTTATTTATTTATTTATTTACTAATTATATTATACTTCATTCCATTCCACAAAAATATATTTTATTTAATTGTCATTTTTTATTGTTTTTTTAGATAGATAGATAGATAATTTTATTTGCATTACTTACAGCACACAAATTACAACATACATATACAAAAAAAAAAGCGAGATAACATAAATGACGAAAAAATACACAAAACTTTATTATAGTATTTTTTATTGTAGTAATTGCCGTGTGGTCCAGACATAGGATGGGCCACCCCTTCCTTTCCCGTGAATGTCGTAATAGGTGACTGAGGAAACTTAATCGTTAAGAGATGAGCAGCAGCGTCCCTGTTAAACACTATTACAGCTTAACGGCAGTTGTCAAATTTAGCACTAAACATAGCAACTACTCGTATTAAAAAAAATCCCTTAACGGTCTATGTTTAGCAATGGACAGTTAATGGCTGATGTGAGTGTGTGTACAACAACGACTACAGGACTTCTTACCCTCCATACAGTGAAGGGTAAAGTAGGGGCTTCGGCTTCAACTCCGAAGGCAACAATCTCCGGGTCGCTGAGTTCAATGCCGGGCAGAACGACGTAGTTTTCTTGATATTGTATTTATTGCGGCGGTGAGTTGTGAGAAGCCTCTTCTCTCTTGCTAATATACTTGTATATATTTTTCATGTGTTTGAAAGGCAATAAGAAAAATTTATCCGGTAGATGGCGATAGGGAGGAAACATCGTTGGACGGGCCAAAGAGTGTCTTGTATAAATGTAAGTGAATTTTATACAACACGCGTTGATGTCTTTTCTATGTGAGAAACTTCGTTAAATACGACTATTGAACGTAATTCGTGTTAAACCGTTTAATTGCTAAAAATATATTTTTAATTGAATTTATTATAAATGTAGTCTACATTTTTCCCGCGACTTCGCCCTCCGGGCTGGGATATGAATATGTTCACTGACAAGGCTAAAAATATATTCAATTCATGTATAAATCGTGGATATTCAAAATAGTCCATCTATTATTTCCTTCAAGAAAAGATTAAAAATATGCTAGTGCCCCCCCCCTCCTTAATAGTTGATTAAGGAGGGGGGGTGCGGGATGGCAGCAACGTCCTTCTTAAAACATCTCTAAAGTCTAACTGCGGTAGCCAATCCGCTTGCCAAGTGTGGCAACTACTGGCAAAAAGGGGGAGGCTTATGTTTTTAAAGCTGAACTATCGCCGAGTAATAGACAATAAAATAATTCGTTTATTTCCAAAATATTAGTTCCTTACGTTTGGTCACATAGCTTGAAGAACCGACAACAGATGGTGAAGAAAAGTTCTTGAGTGACGATCCTGTACGGGCAAACGCAATGTAGGACGACCTCCCACTAGATGGACCGACAACCTCAAATCCATTGTAGGGTGTCAGTAGATGCAAGTGGCTCAGGACCGTTCCTTATAGCAGTCTATGGGGAAGGCCTATGTCCAACAGTGGACATATAATGGCTGAAATGATGATAATGATGAGAGATGCCTATGAAAATTACTATAATGTAACTCAAAATACTAAACTTTTGCCAATTATATACGCATGAACAGATGGGGCGGATCGCTATACTCGTAAACACCAAAATATTAAAAACCGCCATCTATTGACGGTTACCGGTTACTAAATAAATTGAACATTGCTAGGAACAGAATCTATATGCTCCGACGCAATTATACTACTGTCATTCTATTTCTGAGCGTTTGTTTATTAATAATACGGACAGAGGGCGCTGTATAAATGTTATTTTTAATCGATTTGAATAAGAAGATTAATAATTTAACTGCATTTTGTACGCATCTTATCTTTTTTTTATACAACACAGGGGGCAAACGAGCCGCATGGCTCACCTGATGGTAAGTGACTACCGCCGCCCATGATCACCCACAACATCAACGGCATTGCAGGTGTGATGCCGGCCTTTTAAAAGGGAATTTTGTATCTGATTAATTTTTTTTTTTATTTAATGAATAGTTTATTTCTATTTTAGTCCCATCATCACATCAGCCATTAACTGCCCACTGCTGTACTTAGGCTTCTCCTTATAGGGGATTTTGCTATTAGTTGCCACGCTTGGCAGGCGGGTTTTTCAAAGCACTTTCTCCCACGCACAACCACTCTTTAGAATCAACTTCCAGCAGCAGTATTTCCGAATCGATACGACGTCATAACCTTCAAGAAAAGAGCATATTTCTTTTTAAAAGGCCGGCAGTACCTACACCTGCAATGCCGCTGGTGTTGTGGGTGATTATGAGCGACGGTAGTCGCTTACCATCAGGTGAGCCGCATGCTCGTTTGCGAGCTGCATTATAAAAAAAAATCGACAAATAAATGTTAAACCGCTGAGTCACCGGGGTCACCGGAATATTTATCTTCATAATTGGGGTTTACGCAAGACGCGCCATGTAAATTGAGATGAACTTTCCTTGTGTATGTGTGTCTTTCACGGAAAACATTCGGAACTTGTTACCGAATCAATTTGGCGCCATATTACGCGAGACACCGGCGCCGGCGCAACGAAAGCGGTGAAATCTTATGACGTTTATTAATCGATAATGACCTTGTTTTTGGTACGGTAATCTCGAGATTTGATAAATAATATGTATTTGAAACTAGCCTTAGAGAATATAGATACCGATCCGATATCTATATATTGGTTTTCTCTGGACACTGATAGCGGAAAAAAAGGTCGTCACTAATTTCGATATTGCCCATATCGGTCGGATACCTATTTTCGAATATGTTAAAAGTCTGTTATCCGATATTATTTTCGGGATAGCAGACTTTCAACATATTTGATATTAAACCAGTATATAGACATGGAGGGAAAGGGATTGTTAGTAATGGAGACTGAGAATCCCATTGCTAGCAATATACCCAACCAGACCTCCGCGCGGTTCTCCGTGGGAACTATCATGGTTAATTCCTGATGAATTCATCATGATGGGCTAACTGGCCTGTTTTCGCTCTCATCTATCGCCCTTCACTGGTGCTCCGCCAGCGTATCCCGTTAGCGCAGGCGACACGAGTTACCATTTCATTATCATTCATTAAAAAAAAACCATAACTATATAGTTTCTTGCGGTTTACATATTCGTATTAAACCTGGCATGTTTTATTTCGGCACGCCATCTGGAAGTGGTATATTTCCAGTGGCGTAACAATAGGGTGGCAGGGCTGGCAAAATGCCCGCCTGCGCTATCGGTTTACACTGGCGGAGCACCAGTGAGGGATGATAGGTGAGGATGAAGAAGGTCAGTTAGCCCATCATGACTAATTCACCGATAAAGTAGTCACGATAGTTTCCAGGGGGAACCGCGTGGAGGTCGACCCGATGGGATATATTGATAGCAATAGGGACTAACCTCCCCACTACTAACAATCCCTTCCCCCCCCCCCTATAGTTATGGGTTAGAGAAGGACCTAAGTTACATTTTGTCCCGAACAACTAACATTACCCGGTCACGCGGACGGAGCCGCGCGTGAAAGCTAGTGGAAAATAAATTCGATTTCATATTAGACATTTGTGGGACACCCAATGCGCATGGACAGCAAATTAATACGCGCACTCGATTATTAAATTTTCCTACAATCACACGCTTCAAAACAAATGTCGCAGCGACTTGGGGCGCAGTGGTTGTGATAGCGAAACGATACCGGTTCCAGTGTTCGATCGATTCGATCCACAATCGAATCGACTCGTACTGTATTTTTTTATAATCGAATTCTATTGTTGAAATATCGATCCTATTCATTTAAATTACATTTGTTTTTTACTCGATCTATCAAAAAAGGAAGGGTAATGTTTTCTACATATGTAAAGATCTTACGCACTTATTTATAAAAAAGTTACTTCTTACAATACCTAAAAGGAAAGAAAGGGGAGAAGAAATTGTTAGTAATGAGAAGGTTAGTCCCCATTGCTGTTAATATACCTTATCAGGTCGACCTCCACGCAGTTCCTCCTAAAAACCATCGTGACTTATTTATCGTTAAATTCGTCACGATGAACTAACTAATCTGCCTTTTCATCCTCACCAATCATCCCTCACTGATGCCCCGCCAGTGTATACCGATAGAGCAGGCGGGGTTACCATTCCACTATCATCCATAAAAAAAGGAAAGGAAGGGATGGCCCATTCTATCTCGGGACCACGCGACAAATAGGTTTGTAGAATATTACAGTTTTTATGAGTAAAGAGGTTAATTTTTTTTTTTTTATTTTTTTTTTTTTATTTTCAGGTAATTACCCATATATTAACATCTTATTAACACAGTTTGAACTACAACTGTCTAAATGGTATAATTGTAGGTTTGGATAAAACCATTGAAGCAGGCATAATTTTGTATAAAAAAATTGAGTTTTTATGAATAAAATTGATATTTATTGCTTGCCTCTCCTTGAGAGATAAAACCTTTAATACTCTTGTAAGGAAAAATCGCTAGGTACAGCTATAAGGTGTAAAACAACATATGTCAATTTACTTATACTAATATCATAAAAAAGATTGGATTTTTTATGTTTTAACACTCGATGCTGTATCTATACAAATATAAAACCATAGCCTTCCATAGTACCAAAAAACTCTAGTATCTACAGAAAATAAAATATAATTTACATATTTAAATTTCTATATTCAAATAATTACACAAATCTCTATATTATTCGATATCATTCCAGCCACGACTCGATTAATATAAAAAAAATGAATTCGATAAAAAATATGTCATAGCCCATCACTAAATCACTACGGACCGGTTCGAAAACGCTGCAGTCTACACTCGAACGTCTTGGCTTCCGAACGTTCCAAAAAAAAAGTAAATTCAAATTTAAAAATTACTTACATTACGACGCGTTCGATATTTAAAAACTTTCATTTCGCGCCCATTTCAAAAATATTTTATCTGTGATTGGTTTTATTGAATTATTTTAAAGTGAATTCTATTAAGTGAAAGTGTCTAGGTTTAAAAGTGAAAGGCAATGTAAGTATTAGCTATATAAAGCCTGTTTTGATTTAAGAGAAATGATAGGTCAGTTACGTTGGCCTAGTTTGCAGAAAAAGTTGATTTTGCAAACAGATCATAGAGACAAGACTATTTTTTTTTAATTGATAATCGAAAGGGAAAAGCTAAGGAAACAACGTACACATCTTTATTTCTTGAACACTAGCGATCCGGCCCGGCTTTATCCAAGTTAATCGGATTTATAAGAATAATATATAGCCTATATTACTCACTGACAATGTAGCTTTCTATAGGTGAAAGAATTTTTTAAATCGGTTAACTATTTTTCGAGTTAATCTTTTACAAACAAACGACCAAATCTTTCCTCTTTATGATCTTAGTCTAGATTTAAAATATTATTATGTTAATACAATAATACAACCAAATTTAGTCCCATAAAAATCATCGACTTCTATCGTGGCCAAAATAGTTTTTCTTTTCAACTAAACTTCTAAACCTGTTTTGATAAATTTCTCCGGGACCAATCTGAAAGTATATTTCAAATTTCAAATCCATTTTAATGCCAGGCAACAAGATATATTTTGTTACTATTAAAATAGACTTTAAATTACGTTAGTAGTTATAGCCTTTCAGATAAAAAAAAGAATTTTTCCAATTCGTTTTATAAACGTCGGGGTTCCGACATAAAAAAAATATATAAAAAATTTCAAATTTTTTATATAATATATTTCAAATTTCAATCGAATTCAATTAAATTTTTTTTACCGATTTTCAAAACTCCTTTTTGGAAGTCAATTGAATATAAAAAAAAATCACATAATGGCAGTTTATGATTTTTATTTTAAGAGAAAATTTTCAATTCAGAAAAAAAAATACATAAAATTATATCAAGAAACGATTCTGCATGGAAATATAACGAGACCAATACAATCAGAGTAGAATTGTCGACAATTTGGCGTTATATATACAAAAAAAATCAGAACAATTAAAAACCTTTAGAATTTTTTTATTATTTCATTAATTATAACGTCTAATTATTATGTATTATTTTTTTTATAAAATATACCTCCCTTTTTTGATGTCCCACGTCGGTTAAATACGAATTTACTATCATTTAGACTTTTAAAAAACTAATTTCATTGTTACAAAACCAGTTATTTTTATTTCAAAACTAAACTACTGTATAATCCGTTTGTCTGTAACTATGTAAACAGAATTACTCCTCAGGTTGACCACTAGATGGAGTTGTTGTTATAGTGTGTGTGTGTGTGTGTGCTACAACGCGATATTAAAATTTCTGGCATGTATATATAAACTGAAAAATATAATTAGTAATAATATAATAAATTTTATCTTGTACAGTCCAAGTTTATATTTATTTATTTAAATGTAAATTAAAACTTAACTGTACTCTTGGATTTGAATAAGTTTTTGTTCGACTACCAAATCGTTATTGATAAAATTTCTGTAGTACCAATCTTTTAAGATACATATATCCTTTCAGATAAAAAAGAAATCCCAAATCGTTTTACAACTGACGTAGTAGTACTAGATAAAAAAAAATCCAATAGGTAACAAACATTAAAAAAAATACAACCGAATTGAGGAACTTCTTCTTTTTAAAGTCGGTCGGAAACCATACTTGCTCCATACAAACGGGATAGTGAATCCCGGCCGATCAGTTATAAATAACTGTACAGTGGACTAATGGAACTAGTTTTTTAGTTCAAAGTTAATGTTTTAATCTTTATTAATAGAACTTAATTATAACTAGTGGTCGCCGCGTGGTCGAAATTCGACCATAACGTATATTGTAATAAATGAATTCATTACGGTTACGTTTGACATTCAGTAAGACTATAGACAAGTAATATTAACAGACAAACAATATTAATCTATTCTCAATTTGACCACAGACTTTGACAATAAACAAAAGGGTATGTGTGTGTGTGTGTGTGTGTGTGGGTGTGTGTGTGCGTGTGTGCGTGCGTGCGTGCGCGTGAGTGAGCGTGTGTATGTCAATCACATGGTAGTTTGTGTAATTTTTTTTTTATTGATATAGTGTATTTTAAGATAATCAATAATAAATTAAACATAAAAAATATATTAGAATAATTTTAAAAGTATATCAGAACTCTGCACTCCTTCTCTATATAAACTATAAGTGTGCCAAATTCCATACTCCTTCGTCCGCGCAATGTTCGTAAAAAGAGGTGCAAAGTTTTTGTTTCACATATTAATATACATGTATATATTAAGACGTAATCATATATAAACGATCTCCTTTGGAAAATACACTTTATACCTTAGAAGATAAAAAAAATCGCTACAAAAAACATCTTAGAAGTCCTATAGCTCATCCGTCATACTCGTGAACGGGTGCTGCTTATGGGAACTGGCCTGCTCATGTTTGCTTGTTTATTTTCTATTTAATAATACATATAAATAGAACTTACTGCTAATTACAGTCACAACACTCTTGCAATTGTAAAATTATCTTGTACATAATAATTTGATAAGAGTAACTGAGTTTCTTGCGTGTTCTTCTCAGCAGGTAACAACATCCTGAACCTAGCAGTGTAATCATAAAATACTGACAATTTTACAGATTTTGTAATCAAGTCGGTTTGGATAAAGACTATTTCTATCCTATTTTATCCTATTCCATCCTATCCTATATTATCACATCCTATTCTATTCTGTTCTATCCTATCCTATCTTTTTTTTTTTAACTAGGGTGAAAATCTTCAGAAAGAGAGCCATCCGCCGGTGGGACGACGGATGGGTACTGTGGGATTTTTACCCATTAAAAACACCCCGGTATTCCTCTCAGCGCCGTGTGCCGGTGACAAGGGCTCGCGGTTGCAGTCCTCCGCGTCACCGGCAGCGCCGCTCCCCTACGGGACCACCCCGAGTGGTGCGCCAGGAATACACAGCGCACCCCTCCCGGATCTCCAGTCTCGTGTTGGGCTTTGGATGTATACCCTATCCTATCTTATCATATCCTATTCTAATCTATTCTATCCTATCCTAGCCTATACTATTCTATCCTGATCTACACAATTTGCTTATGAAATATAAGGAAATCACGAGGACAATGTCGCGGATAAAAGGTACTATTAAATGAAAAGCGAAAGTTTGTACAATGGATAGACGTTTGTTACTCTCTCACGCCATATCTACTGAACGGATTTGTACGAAATTTGCTACATAAGTAGGTTATATCCTCCTTCTTTCACAGTGGGGACAATTTCTTAAACAAAGCCATTGTTACTGTCCTTTGTCTTAAAAAGATGACTCGTTTGCATTATAAATGAATCTCTTTTAAAACATTTCGAAAGCTTCCCTCGACACTTTGACTTTCTTTTTTTATGACCGAAACTTAGGTATGTGTCGATATGTAATATTATGTATATATAATAATATATTCACCGTGTGTGCCCCGGCGTAGAATGGGCCTCCCCTACATTCCTCGTGATTGTGGTAAGAGGCCACTAAGGGAGAGCGAGGGATGGGCAGCAGCACTCCTCTTAAAACGTCTCTAAAAGCCTAACTGCGGTTGTCAACTCGCCTGACAAGCGTGGCAACTACTGGAAAAACCCCCGTTATGAGGAAGGCTTATGTCCAGCAGTGGACAGTGGACAGTGGAATTTTGAAGACGAAGGTCTTTAACCAATGCGATTTGTCAGTGATGACTTATGGAACCGAGACACGGTCCTACACAATTGTCCGTATGCAAAAGCTTCAAATACTCAGCGGGATATGGAAGAGGAGCTATATATATATATATATATATATATATATATATATATATATATATATATATATATATATATATATATATATATATATATATATATACATATATATTTACAATAACGATTACCATTTTTCACCAGGTATACCATCAGCTTGTTTACAATTACAAGTACCATAAACATTTTTTATTTATAGTGACAGTTTCGTGGAGATTAATATCAATATGAGAGATATGGATAATATCAGTATCGCTTCAATATATATATATATATATATATATATATATATATATATATATATATATATATATATATATTGGATTTCTCTGGACATTACTGGCTGAATAAAATGTCATCGCCCACACCAGTCTTTATATATTTAATTCGATCTGATTCTTTATTTCGTCATTATATATTGGATAACAAATATTTATTGGATTAATATATGTATATTGTAATTACAATATATATATATTGTTATATACTACTTACCCCTGGTAGGTTTTGACTCGATTACTCGAGTTTCGCGACCGGTCGCGACCTACAAGATCATCGGCGCATGCGCAGTTTTCTCCGTTTAATTACTACTCAGTTCGTTAAACAAATTTATTTTATGCAACTTAGAATGGCTAACAAGCTGACTGTCCACCTGATGGAAAGCGGTAATTGTCGCCTATAGCAGGAACAGTACTATGGACATAACAGAGTATGTTGTGCCGCCCATGATACCCCCTATGTGTTGTCATTCCTGAGGACTCAGGTGTTATTCCTCTGTACCCTGTAAATTCACTTCCATATCCCACTTTTCAAACCGAAACACAGCCATGCAAACACAACTGTTTCACGGCAGAACTATCTACTAACTAACTAATTTGGCCACAGTTAGTTAGATTTTTTAGTAATATATATATTGGGGTATTCTAAATGAGAAAATGTGGCGTAGTTTCCCGGCGCTACCCAGCCGAGTTGGATTCGTCGGTTGGCCTCTCAGTCGAAGTTGAACATACCTAGTCGGATAAGCTGTACCAAATATACATACTTGAGGGGAAAAAGGATTAGTAATGGGATCTAATTGACCCATTGCTAGCAATACACCTTATCAGGTCGACCTCCATCCCTGGAGGATGCGCTAATATACCGGCGCGTCCCCTCGAGTGGTAGGGTGTGCACGCCATCCACCCTATCTTGAGAGAGGAGACCTGCTCTTACCATCAGGGGACGGGTCGCTGCTATCGGAGATGTGGTAGGTACGAAAGTGAA